ATTTCTCTCTTCCTCCATACACTTTCTCAACTTGACAGGAAGTGAATAAAGTCTTTTAAAGATATTCTACATTTCCAAGCCGTCTGCAACTCAACGCGTGAAGGCACGGCTCTGTTTAACTGTTTGAAGCAGGAATTCCATCTAAATAATGTTAACAATTTCAGTTCTTTCTCTATATAGAACAAAATACCTCTCTATTACAAAGACGAACAAGGCAATGCTCTTCAGGGAACTAATAGATATTCTTCTGAGAATTACGCGAAACCTATAGATATATTATGCGGGCAGAAAGCAATTTCTAGTCTACTTTCATAAAGTAGGCTTATACAATCTCCATTCTCTCTTGTGTCCCACTGTTTGCTTCCGCGGGAATGTGTTTAAGGAGTCGTTGCCTAGCAGTGGGTCACAATATTAATTCATTTGATCATGGGATACCCGTTGGTCAAGGCGTGTCCTAGTTTGCGGAGGTTTGTTGTACAACTGCCATCAATTATATTTATTATTCTAATTAATGGCTTCAAATTCTGAATAATTCACCATAATAGATGCATGCAGACTATTACGTGGTAGGCTGTTTCAGGTTCTCACTGTGCCGTATCAAATTATGTGTTAGACGAAGCGCAGTGTGATTGCTCTCACGGGTACAGTACAATTAGCCGAAACGTAGGTTCAGATATAATTGGACTGCACAGCAGTAAGATTCCATCTTGCTGCTGCGGGCATCTGCCGGCCTCATTCGTAGTTGTGTACTGCTGACCTTCGATTGTGAGGGCTATGAAGAACCCGTCTGGGATTTTCGTGTTTTACCCAGTCTCTCCCAGGCAACTACTTATACCTCTGCTAGGATTTCACGAAAATCTCGCCCCATTTACTCCTAATAAGGTAAGGCGACATAAAGTAAAATCATTTTCTTTATTCGTTCAGAGAATAAGCTCGTACCGTATTATGCCTCCATATTTCTGACACCTTCGTGGCGTACCGTTGCCCATTTTTGTAGCTCTCTTTCCTTACTTGGAAGGAAGAAATTCTGGGAAGAACAAATCAACTGCATTCCATTCACCATTAGTCTGAGTAACTGATAAGAGACGTAGAAAGGAAACGTTAGTATTGTTAGGTGTAAGGGGGTTGCGTGTCCTATAGGATGGGTTCTGGATTGAATGATTGGATATGATACTTTATACATTAAACTCGGAACTACAGGTAATTCCAGCGCTGTCGCTGATCTACACACTTTCCAGTTCACCGTAACACATACATATCGGTTCTCAGTCTTCACGAGTCGTATCCTGGCAACGGGTTCATAAGAGTCTCACTGTCATTTAAAATCACACAAGAAGTTTTCTTTTCAGAGCCTAATTATTTTCTTGCCATTATTGAGTATCTGCCAGTTCCGAAGGTTCGACTCAGTTCAGTTCCTCTGTTCCCAAACTCATATCCCGGCAGGCTGACGCACCGAAACTCAGCTAGACTTCTCAAATGAACTGGTCCTTATAATCACTTTGCATGGACCATGCAGAAAACACAGCCTCTCTATCGTTGGGAAGACATGTTTACAGCGCCGTTGCATAACAACAGAAGTTGCGTATTCGTTACCCTGAGAATATGTTTAGCGAGTCGTTGCCTAGCAATGGACATATATTCGAACTTCACTATTCCGTTTTTCCGGCGCCATGTCACAGTATGTATGCGTATTGAAGTTAAGAAAACAACAAACCTCAGGAGACTGCAGTGCTGGTATTACTTATGGGAAGGATTTACTGTGTATGACCTCGGGATGACCTCAGATAACATGACACATACATACCAAGTTTCATGGCAATCGGTTCAGGAATTCAAGTAATATTAAGGGAATTATATGAAGAGCTTGAGAGGCTTCAGTACTGGTATTACTTATGGGAAGGATTTATTGTGTATGACGTTGACTCAGATAGCATGACACATACATACCAAATTTCATGACAATCGGTTCAGGAATTCAAGTAATATTAATGGAATTATATGAAGAGCTTGAGAGGCTGTAGTGTTGGTATTACTGATGAGAAAGACTTGTGATTTATGCCATTGAGACTGGTTCGGGTGGCATTATAAACATACAAATTTTCACCAAAATGTTTACGGACGTTCAAGCAGTATTAAGGTTTTGCCTTTGCAATTTGAACTGCTGTAACGTTGGTACTGGTAGTGGGAGGGATGTACACGTAAGATGTACGCCGTTGAAGTGGACTGAGGTGGCATGATATAATACTAAGTTCTACGACTAGTGGTTTAGATATTAATGTAACATTACGGCTATTACAGCAACAATTCTGAGAGTGAACATATTTTGCGTTCATATGTTGTGCTTAAGATGTAATGTATTCTCTGTGAGGTACGAACCGAATTTTTGTATAAAATTTAGAAGAAATGAAGTTTGTAAGGTGGTTAAAACTTATTTAAATTGTTAAATGTTACGTACTGTTTGGGAATGTCGGTTTGCAGAATATTCTAGCAAATGTGTTGGCGATTGATGTGGGTAAAACAGACGACAATGTGGGCCGAAGATCAAAATGCGAACACGACAATCACCTCCTCACCCCAGGCATCAGTTTACACTTCTGCTTTGTAACGTTTGGTTGTGGTGTTAAAACAACCCATATGTTCATTTTCCGGACCCTTATCTTTCATTATGCGCAGACATAACACAGCTTTATCGCAGTGCAACATGGCTTTATTATGGAACTTGTATACTTGTCACCTGACCGACGTTGTTTTCACATTTACTTCTGTGTTTTCACGCCCCACATTTAGCGACATGCAATCCCACGATGAATATATAATGGAATAGTAACCTCGCGAGTTTTTCGGTTATCTAAGAATAATGAATAGAGGTGTGCTACCGCCTGGGTTGTTTTATGGTACGAAAATATTTGCTTCGTCTCTCCATCTAACATTTGCCTCAGTTAAAATTTAAGTCTCCTCTGGGTGTTCAAATTCCCTGGGATGCTTAATTGTTCGTTTAAGAACATTTCTACCGGCAGTGGATAGTTGAAAATATATATATTCACATAGAAGTATTGATAGATATTTCCTTCCTAAAATAAAACATTTATGGAGAATATAGTATCACACTCAGAGGAAAATATCATTTGGAACAAGAATATAATTTGTTGCCTTTGAGATTAAAAGTAAAACGCTGGAATTCTCTTAAGAGACGGTCAACTACAGAGAGAGGAACGCTTCAGTTTCCCCTGCCTCTGTAGGTAGCGCCTGGTAAGGGCCTCTACCGGAGGGTTACGTGGAGGGTAGACAGACTGGAATTCTGAAAATCAAATTGACGAGCGTGTGTTCTCGAGATTTTAAAACAAAACTGACAGGCTGATGTTTTAGATTTTGGACTGTGTGCAGTTTGACAGCTATGTAGTGAAAAATACACCTGATGATGGCCAATTACGGCCGAAACATGTAGTGTAGAGGAAGAAAAGACAAAGATGTACAACCATATAAATTGTTGCATTCACCACGGCATTTGTATCATTACATATAGAAGTGTATAGTGCAACAGGATGCTTAAATATAATATAGTCATCTTCTTAAGTTGAACTCTTTGAAAAGTCAAAAATCATAAATTGGATCTGATTACCGGCTCTTGGGCCCACCCAGCCTCTGGGTGCTCTTTACCCTGGGTCAAGCGGCAAGTGAGGGAAGCTCACCATTCCAATATTATTCAGAGGTCAAGAAGCTCTACTTCCACTCCCCTATACGTCTTCATAATATGGTGCTTAATTAATTATGCTCAGGGGCAATTTTACCTTCCTGTTTCTCTTGAAATTTTAATGTGTTTTATGTTAGTAATATATTTATTTGAGAATTTTCATAACGAGTTAATTTTTTAAGATAAGGAGTTGTTAGCTCCACGCCTAATCCCCAAGCTGAAGAACCACCCCTTGTCGGCTGTCCGCGACTGCTTATTCAATATATTCGCAGCTTCCCTCCATATCTGAAGGGCGTCTCCTCCATCCGCAACCTGAGGACGCGCTATGCCGTGGTGACAGGGGACTCATCTGCGAGCTGTTGATGCTTAATACACGAGACTTGGAAAAGACACAGTTAGCTCTGTGGCCTATCAGTACTTCACGAACATTTATAGAAGGTCGTGGAGTTGCATGAATGCTGGCCCACGACACTAGATGGAAGTGGATAATCAGTTTCTTGTCTTAACAGCTTCGTTCATGTGGAAAGAACCCCCAGTATCGACTACATAAATCGATGGTTGCGCCCTAGAGACATCTGCACGTGGTGATAAGGAAAAAACCCCTGTCCCTACCTGCGGCTTAAACTTGATTATACAACCCGTAGATGCTTCCTGTAGCGACACAATAAGACTAATTCTCCTTTGAGTAGAGAAGATGACAAATTTCAGTTGTATATTTATTCATACGGTATCGAAATAGCTTCATTTTAAATAACAAAAGAAAACTCCGTTGTTTAAGTCCGCAAGCGAACTATACCGACCGAACGACCGCCGCTTGTCTGCAAAGTTAGTAAAAAATTTAGCGGATAGAGGGTGTCGCTTGGTCAGCGCACGGCCGTTAATTTCGGTTTTCTAGACAGGAGCCGCTTTTTCCTTCAAATAGTTCCTCAGTTATCCTCACGAGGCTGAGTGGACCCCGTTCCAGACCCACAACTTCTCAGAAAATTTGGTAGGACTGGGGATCGAATTCGGACCTCTGGATCTGTAGCCAGGTACTGTGATCACTAGACCACAAAGGCCACAATGTGAATTAATTAGTTTAGTATGTCTTGCAGTTGCACTCTTTACATAACAATCTTCATTGTCAATTCCATATAATTCCGTTTAATTCTAAAATTTCAACATAAACTTGTTCTAAACAATGAGTCAATATTGGTGTTGCATACAGTTAAGTCAGGGTGTAACGCCTATCCAATTATATTGTAGCGATTAGAACACGTAATGAAACTGCTTCCATCTCTGTGTACAATGCGCATGCGTATAAACTCACCATTGAGCACGTGCACTGTGACTGTGGCGAATTCTGTCGGCGAAATAGAACATGTGTAGTTTCCACTATCTGTCTTGTTCACGCGTGCCACTGATAGAGAACTATTAGCTCCCTCTTCCATTAGGTCCGTCTTCACACTGAAATTAAGCATACATAAAGAATTATATAACAATTATGCTTCTGTATGCAAGTAAAATTATTGTAATCGCGAGTTTCATTGTTGTCGTTGACAAATTTCAGATTACCATAACAACGAACTTTAGAGCGTTGGAAATTTCCATGAATATAACTTATGTAGTAGGATAAGAATGAGTAAGTAACGTTTGGTACCACTGTATTATGTCTATTCTGTAATTATTGATAGCATTTTGGTCTGGATATGCGTGTCTCCACCTTATCGTGGTGAGGGGGTTTGAGTATGCCAAGGACCCTGAGAGCTATACCAGCGGTAGCGTAGCTACTGGCAGGGCCTCCCTTGCTGGACAGGTCAAAGGGTAGGCATCAGACGAAGAGAGACACCAAAAACCAAAAACTGATGCCGGAAGCAGCGTCATCAGCAGCGACTTGAAGCACAGAACAAATGATGCTCGAGATGGTTCAAGTTCGTATAGCAACAGGCGTGACCAGAGTGGTTTGAACGGCTGTTGTACTGCGATGTGGAAAGCAAATGGAAAAACTACCACATTATCACTTTTCCTGGATAGTCTCTTTCCAAAAACAGAAGATCACATTAAGTGGAGGAACTGTTTTGGAAGAGACTGTGGACCTGTCATCTGACAGTTACTGATCAATCAATGCGAACTATACTTTATACAGGAATGTTTACTATTGGTTACCTATGCGGGTTATTCGTCGGTAAGGTAAAGCTATCCCTGTGACAGGCCGTGAAGCCCATAAGGTTGTGAGACATCGAGGCTCCCACAGTTTCTCTAGACAATCGGCTCACAGATGGCGGTAAGTTTATCAGCCTTACGCGCCCGCTGCCCTTTACGCCCCAGGAAGATTCCTGGTACTCATTTCTGCTAGAGGCTGAGTCGACCCCAGAGTCAGATGGTATTACAAGTCAACCTTGGCGGACAATTCGATGTGGTATAGAACTGGAAAGGAATACGGGAAGAGTCAAGGAAACTTAATACTGTGAAATCTTTCATAACAACACGAAGGACATCTGGTGAATCAACATGAATACGATATTTCTTATACGTAGATGTAGTTGTGCTAACAAAGATAAATAAACGGATTCAAGTCCTTTTTATAAGCGGATGGTCGCTTAATTTGTCATGAAATTCTCCGCCTAATACAGGACCCGAACCCTCACTGGGCTGTAACCGGTCGAATTACATGCAGACCCTCCAATTCTGTGTGTTTATAAGGCAAAGTTGAAATCATATGAAATTTGAGGTTCTAAAGGCGGTGAAAGTTAAGGTTTTGGCTTCCTGAGATGGGACACCGTATGGATTTGTAGATAGCTATAAACATTTCGGAGGAGCCTGCTGCCTCCGTCTTCAGGGTAGAAGAAGATGGACGTAGGAGTTTCCTGTGATATATTTGTACCTGTCTGCTAGAATACAGGGAGCCGGGTTAGCGTAGTCGATATAGCGACTGGCTGCGGGATGGACGACCGAGAGGATAGAGTTCGAGTCCCGGTAGGGATTTATGTAGTTGATATTAGGCGTTCTTTCCACATGAACAGAGCCACTGCGACAAGAAGTCGATTATTGACTTCCATCAAGCGTTCGTGGTCCAGAATTTATGTGACTCCATGACATCCTACAAATGTTAGTGGAAGTAGTGACAGGCCACAGACACCAACCACGAGTTAAAAGAAGCGGAGAAATGAAGTCCAGATGCTTAAATAGTCTGTGATCGCAAGTAAGGGATCCTCACTGAGTTGAACGAACTGTTTCTTGAACATTTCTTTGTGTTAAGATGGCACTACCAAGTGACATTTTCCGTCGCCCTATCATTCTCCCTTTAGTACACAAGACTTCAGTTATTTTGGATCCCTTACTTATGATGTCATCCAATTAAGAATATTAAGAATGATGAGATCTTCCTCCCCCCAAAAAAATGCTCTCATAACTTTGCGCCAGTCGCTTCACAATGGCAGAAGCTGTAAGCCATCAGGAGAACCCGCTGATGCAGCAGACGTGCGAACACAATTCAAACAATTCTTTCACGTCTTCAACCTCTTCTCAAGCAAATGTTTTGAAACAAGCTCATCTGATCTCCTTACCAAGTATCTATACTTCTGCTTTTACACTTCAGTACAGCTGACTTTCATATTAACTGTATTAATGACATTAATTCACCATGTAAAATGCGGCGACCAGAATAAAAGCGCTGGAAATATTATTATTATTATTATGGCTCTACAGCCCTTTGTTGCGCCTTGGCACCGTTTTCAGTTTTTTTATCCTATACACAGACTGTAAGACTCCTTGGACGGGGGATCAGCCCGTCGCAAGACCGCTACCTACACACAGAACATCACAAACACGGAATAAACCCACACACAGACATCCATGCCTTGAGATGGATTCGAACTCCCGATCCCAGTGTCCTAGCGAGCGAAGACAGTCCATGCCTTAGACCGCACGGCCACTGTGATATCTTTTTGATATAGGTATGAACATTCATTCATTCATCAATGGCTCTACAGCCCTTTGTTGGGCCCTGGCCTCTTCTTAAATTCCGTAATAATTTGTAATAAGTCGGTAGGACTACTTGAACGAGGGATCAGCCCGTCGCAAAGCCGCTACCAAGACAGCACACACAGACATCCATGCCTTGAATAGAATTCGAACCCAGGATCCCAATGTTCGAGCGACCGAAGACAGTTCATGCCTTAGACGGCGCGACCAACAATGATCGTCACATATATATATATATATATATATATATAT